AATCTCTCCTAGTTTCCTTAGGATCTCTCTTCGATTCCTCCAATCAATCAATCGTATGGCTGGAAGAGCAACCATCCGACGTCGATTTCGTCGAGCACAGCCCAAAAACGAGTCGTTTGGAGTTAAAATCCCTGATTGTTCGTCGTTAATAAATAAGTTAATTCTGGATTCTTTTCTTTTTTTCGATTATCTTCGTTGTATCCTCAAAATCTCTACTGACTCTTGACTCGCGTATGGCTATATATAGGGGGATTTCAGAGGTCGTTCCTCACCAGTCATGAACTCACCATCCTCATCTTCTCAAAATTTCTACCCATAACACCCAGACCCAGTCCACAGTGAGCAAAGACAGAGAGATTGCGACGAGTATCCAGACAGAGTCCAGGTCTCAAGGGTAAGGATATTGAACTCGTCGACTTTTTCTAGGTTAGTGGTGTTAATACAGACATGCATGCTTGCCATCTTGTTCTAACTTTGTTTTTGTTCGTTGTTCACTCTTTTTTGGCTAGGTTGGACTCGTTTGAATCGGCATTGAAGGACTAAACTCTGGAGAGCAACTGAGCAAGCGATAGAGATCATCAGTGATTAGTCTACTGTCATTGGGTACTCGATAGTCCTCAAAAAAACTCAAAGACAAGGTAATCACGTTCTCCTCTCCTAAACCCTACCCAGTAGGCAGTAACCATTGTGTTTGTTGTGTTTTGAGACTTGTTGTGACTATGGCTTGCTTGCTAATGATAATAAGTTAGTTAGAAGACGTAAACTGTAATGGTGAAATTGTTGAAAATGGTGTCTTGTTTGTTGGTTAGAAGAATTCTTGTTCATTTAAGTAAGAAAAAAATATAAAATGAAGGTCTAATCAGTGATATATAACTTGATTATGTTCATATGGAAGGTGCTACTGCTAATGCTATGAATGTTGACAACATGTCCCTAAAAATGGTGTCCAAGTCCAACCTGAACAACCTGCTCCTATTCCAAATAATCCAGTTAATGGTAATGGTAATGAGGAAAAACTGGAAGCACAAAGTAAGTTAACCTCTAATGTGTGGCCTCACTTCCATAGAGTTATGATTAATGGGTAATGAAAGCTAGGTGCAAGTATTGTTGTAAACCCCTTGGTGGGGAAAAAAGTAATGGAACTTCACACCTGAGAAACCATATCAAAACATGTATCCAGAAGAGGATACATGATGATTCTCAAAAAATACTTGGCCCCAACTACCAACCTGTTGGAAATCCTCAACTCTCTGCTTCTCAATACAATTATGAGGTTTCTAGAAAGGAACTGTGTTCGATGATTCTGGTCCATGAGTACCCCCTCAGCCTTGTTGTTCATGTGGGTTTCAAACATTTTTGTTGTTCTCTTCAACCTCAATTTGCTGTCCCTTGTAGAAACACTGTAAAAAAGGATATTTTGGGTCTGTATGGGGTTGAAAGGTCTAAATATCAGACCATGATTGATGATAACTTGGGAGGATTTCAGTGACTACTAATTTGTGGACTGCCACAAATCAGAAAATGGGGTATATGGCAGTAACTGATCACTTTATTGACAACTCTTGGAAGCTCCGTAACATAATGTTGAGGTTTATGTATGTTCCAACCCCTCACACTAGTCAAAGACTAGCTGATAGGTTGTTTGATTCTCTTCTGGATTGGAACATTGATGGTAAATTATCCTCAATCACACTGGACAACTGTACCACCAATGATTCAATGATATTTTATATGAGAAATAAGCTTGTGAGCAGTGATCTGTTGCTTGATGGTAAATTGGTTCATATGAGGTGTTCAGCTCATATTCTGAACTTGATTGTGAGGGATGGTTTGGATGCAATCAAAGATGTTATGCATTTGATTAGGGAGAGTGTAGTTTACTGGAATTATACACCTAAGAGATTTCAAACCTTCTTCGAAGTTGTTAAGCAACTAAAGTTGACCTTTGAGAAAAAAGCTGGTACTTGATTGTCCAACTAGATGGAATTCCACATACCATATGCTCTTTGTTGCTCTTCAATATAAGGATGTTTTCTTTCGTTTGAGCTTGAGGGACAGTCAATACACATCTATTCCTTCTAGTTTTCATTGTGAATTTGCATTTGTTGTGATTGATAAGCTGGAAATTTTCTCTGAGATAACTGAGTTATTCTCTGGTTCCAAGTATCCGACTGCCAATCTTTTCTTCCCAAAGATTTGTGAGTTGAGACTGAAACTGAATGAGTGGGGTCTTGATCCCAACCCTGTGATTTTTGGAATGGCTAGTCAAATGTCTGAGAAGTTTGATAAGTACTGGGATGATATTCATCTTGTACTTGCTGTCTCGGTTTTTTTGGATCCTAGATATAAGCTCCATGTGATTGAATACTATGCTGGAAAGTTTGGGAATACGGAAATTGATTTGGTTGGTGAGAATATCAAGAAGATTATTTGTGGTTTGATTCTTGATTATCAAACCAAAGTCGAGAAGAAGTCTAGTTCTGAAACTGGAACTTCTTCTGTTAGTTCTGGATCTCTCTCGGCTACTAATCTTGATTTTGAGCTCTTTGAAGTCAAAGGAAAAAGAGCAAGAGTTCTTGGATTACTACTGAGTTGGATATGTATCTTGCTGATGATATTATTCCTCGGACAGAAGACTTTGATATGCTCTTATGGTGGAAACTTAATGGTCTCAAGTATCCCACCTTGCAAGCAATTGCAAGGGACTTTTTGGCAATCCCAATTACATATGTTTCTTTTGAAAGCGCATTTAGTTCTGGCGGGAGTTTGTTAGACCCTCACAGGAGGAGGCTTCATTATTCAACTGTTGAATCAATGATGTGCACACGAAGTTTGATTATGGAAGACATGCAACGAGGTAACATGCAACTAAACCTGTTCTTTCTAGTACAACTAATTTGTTTTAAGTTAAATAATAATTTTACATTTCTATTTGCAGATTCAGAGGCTGATGCTGCTGTGGAGGCATTGGAGGGAGTCTTCTCAACCCTGTCAGTCGAGGATACGACTGTGGAGGAGGCAAAACCTGGGGGTAAGAAAATCACTTCTCCTTTTCTAAATTTTCTGACCTAGATCATTGAGATTTGAGGATGAACTAATGTGATTTGCTACCTAGTTTTCAGGTCTAGAGATGGTGTTCTTGAGATCACCATTTGGCCAGGAAGACTGATCCATTTGCATCTGTCGATCCAGGTATAACTTCAAATCATCTTCTCTTGTGTTGCAAGAACCTCGAGGTTGTTGCTGATTGTTAGGCTTAGTAACTTAAGAATAAGAATGTTTACTTGAATGTTTGTGCAAACTTGCAATTGATTAATCTTGACGGTTGCTACTTGCTTTGGAATAAGACAACAAAAGTTAGGATGGCTTGAAGCTGCATCTTGCTCGAAGGAAGGCTGCTGTTACATTTGCTCTCAATAGTTATGATGGCTTGGAGTTTGTTTTACCTTAGTCAGCTAGTTGTTCTTGCTTTTGAATAAGACTCGGCATCATGGTGCTGAGAATGGATGTTTTTTTGTTGATTTCAAGTTCGGATGATTTAAGTTGCTGTTGATTGCAACTTTGTGAGTTCATGAGTTCTTGTTGCTCACAGTTTCAGAATTCAGACTATCAATTATTCAGAATAAAATTAAATGTTCATATTTTTTATATATTAAGGTTTCTTTATTTTATTTTAGCAGGTATCTTAGACCCGCGGACACCCGAAAAATCCAACGGTAACGGGGCTGGTGCCACTACCAGACCTACATCACCGTTTGGGCCGGGAACGGATAAACCCAAAGCCCATGATGTGCGGGGGACTAATACATGGTACCAGGTCCGATCCGCCCCGTTGCCAAGCCTAAACTCTAGGCTACAATTAAAATTAAAATAAGGATTACAAGTGATAAACCCCATTCATCCACGTATGCTAGTTATATTATAGAATATATATATAGGGCTTGTCTTGTCTAACCCATATACTAGTCGCCTCATGCCTTCCTCGTTCTTTCGGCTTTAAGGCCGCCACGAACCGACATAACCCACTTTGGATTGATCGTGTTTTATGTATCTTTCCCCCAATTTGCAGAAACATATGAAAAACAAAGGGAAAGCCCTCAAACTCCTCGATCAGAATGACAAGGAAAAAAACCCGTAAGATGCAAAAGGAGGAGTATGGTGCAAAGCCCAAAAGATCAACCCATTGATTAGAAAGATCAGCAACCAACCGAGGTTCCACTCGAGACTCTTTGCACATATTATCATACCTGCAACTGCAATTAGCCAACAGCAGTCCTCACCGGCGATTCCGCCGGCCGGCCCAAATCCTTATTTTCAATCTCCGTTGGGCTCCGTCCGTGTCTACGGATGTTTTCGCCGCGTATTAAACAAAAATATAAAATTGAGTCGAATTCAGCACTTATCAACGGAAGGCAACCAAATTTTTTGTCAACTCTCTGCCCCCACCCACCACTTTCATTAGTCAGTGGGTTGGAATGAATGAAATGAACACTTTTTCCATACAACTCACAGTCTTGATCAGTTAGTGGGTTGAGGAACCACCCGCGCCGTTTCCACAGCTCCCTAGCTAAGTGGGATTCCCCGCCTTTTCCACGTCTCCTTCCCATTTTCAGTGGTTGCCTCGCTTCGTTTCGGCTTCGATTTCATGTATTAACCGCAAGGTTACGTTTTGTGATTAATGGTATGGTGAAATTTGAGTATTATACATCCAAGATATTACAACTTACAAGTATACATATATTTTTACAAACCGATTAAGCAGCCAACCAACTTCTAATGTCTAATCGCTAGCTACGTAGTGCCTGAAATCCGAACCGGCATTGCGAGAACATGACATTTTTCTCCCTTTTTTTTTCCCGTTCCTTCTTCCACCTTTCTAATTGCTCTAACTAATTAACATTTTACAGTTTTAACCACCCCAAAATAGAAAAAAAAGGAAAGGAGAAAAATAAAAAGGTAAATAAACCGCGCGAAAATAGGGAGGAGGAGGGGGAGAAAATCTAGGGCAAGAATCGATTCCCGTCATCCACATCTTCTCGCGCCTTCAATCTCGCCTCAGTTTCCGCTCCACCTCCTCCTTCGGGGACGGCGGCGGCGGACGAGGAGCTCGGGGGCACGCCGCCGCACTTCTGACACCGATTGACGACGAGTATCTGTCGGCAGGAAGGGCAGGATGAATGGTTGCCGAGCCAGGTGTCGATGCAGTCCACGTGGAAGCCGTGGCCGCACTGCGGGAGCACCCGGAACTCATCCCCGACCGCGAATTCGACGAGGCAGATGGCGCAATCGGAGAATTTGGCCGCGGTGTCGGTGGAGAAGGTCTGCTTGGGGAGGGCGCGGAGGATCTTCTTCTTCACCCCCTTGTTGGCCTGCGAGGAGCTCGGGGCCGGCGGAGCCCTGCCACCTTCCGCCGCGGCGGCGGATCCGGAGGAGAAGCGGCGGATCCAGGCGCAGCGGGCGACGGCGACGAGGCCCAGGACGCAAATCAAGGCGCAGAGGAGCGCGGCCAGTATGACGACGAAGTCGGAGTCCACCGGCGGAGCGGGTGGCTCGGAGGAGTCCCCGGCTGTCGTTGTCGGCGAGGAGCTCACCGAATCCAGAAGTCTGAATGGACGAGTCATGTGAATGGAATGGGGAGGAGCTGTAGAGAGAGAGGGGAATGGGAAGAAGGAAATGAAGGTTTAGAGAGAGAGGGGGAATGGGGAAATTTGGGGGATAGGGATTTTGGAATTGGGGATTTTGGGGTTTCATTTAATGGGTTTAAATATGAACTTCCCTTCCTCTCTTCTTTCTTTCTTTCTTTCTTCTTCTGTCTTTTTTCTTTTTTTGTTTAATGTTCTTTTTTTTTTGTTTAATGTTTCCTCTTTGTCCTGTATTGCAATTAGATTGGAATACAGGAGCTGCTGGGAAACAAAAACAGTTTCTAATGAATCGTTTTCAGTGGTTGGTTTGATTTTGGTGTTAAGAAGAGAGGGGGAGAAGAAAGGGAAATTATTTTATAAGAGAAAGGGGTAATTACAGCAGAGATTTTTTTTAATTACACTATTTATTTATTTATTGACACTTTTGTTTTGCTGCTATATTTCACTGTTCCTTCCATTCATTGCGCTCCTTCTCCACCACCACCTTTTTACCTTCTTTATTTAAACATATTTTTAACTAATTCATCCAATCTAGCAAGATCATAGTTTCTAGGTTATAACGCCTTTGTAGTTTGTAATCAAATCCGTCTTTGTAGTTTTGTTTTGTATTGGTGAGTAGAGTATAAGTAAGGTTTACTATTGAGCAGCCAAATATTATATATATACGATACTCCGGGTGAAATCCGGGGTATCGCATATTTTGAGTATGAAAACGTTATTTTGTTCTCAAATTAGTAGGATTTTTGGGCATGATACTATACCCTTATCCTCAATGAGTGAACTCTAGGTTAATTATCTAAATCATAAACTATAAACCCTAAGATGATGCATTAATTTTTTTGCCTATATATGGACGAATCATAACCGTCGATTATTGTTTCTAATTAAATTGATCTTGGGGTATAAGATTTAGAGAATTAAGACCTAGATTTGATCTTTAAGGGTTATAGTATAGTATCATGTCCGGAAGATCAGTCAATTCAAGTCCGGGATAGCGTTTTCTTATTTAAGGTATGCGGTACCCGGGATTTCACCCTGGGTACCATAGTACTCCCATATATATATATATATATAACGGACAAAGATAATGTCGCTTAAGATCTTTGTTTGCAGGTTAACAAAAAAAATGCATTTAACTTGAATTGTGAGATTCATGACAAAATGTTTTATAATTTATTTGCAAGAGACAGATTTGTTTATGTTTATGCCTCTTCTACAAATGACAAATTAGTATTGGTTAGTAGGGTTAGAGTTTGCACTTTGCACAGATCTATCATGATTTAGGATTTAATTCAATTCATTAGTTAAAGGATTTTAACATTCAGGGTGGACCCTTTTACTATCTGCAATAGTTCTGACTTCTGATCCTAGCTAGTTATATCAAAGATGAATTTTTGCTATGATAACTCAAGTCTTTGTCAGAAAAATGCAAAAATTGATATTTTATTATTCCATTATTCCTTACTTGCCATCCCTCAAATTCAAAAGATCATTCACTGATAGCTCAAGTTCATATATGAAATGAACTCGCTATTGATATCGTATCAATGCGTGTATTAATTTAACTCTAAAATCATTAATAAAAATCATAGGCTCTTACAATCCTCTTGACTTATACAAACTTCAAATACATAAAGCTATGTAAAAATATGCCCCTATGAGATCCAATACGCTTTGAATTTCTCCCCATTCAAGCTACATGACAAAATCAGTTTGTTCACAACACACACACTAGCATGGCAATTTGGTTTGCTTTAAGGAAACTAATAACTGCCCTGCGCCAAAGTTGCAACAAACATGAGAAGGAGGTGGTGATCTGATCATCAGAGACTTGTCTATTTTCTCTTCTTCTCTTCTCTTCTCCACTCCCTCCATGGCAATCGTATGATTCTACTTTGGTCCCAGTAAAGCCAAGAGTTTCAGTTACTATTTCACTTGCGTTGCCCACCAATCCACGCCACCAACGGATTCCTTGCTTGTTGGGGATGACATATGATGCATCTAAATTATGAACTAAAGTACTCTGTACTACTGCCATTTTTATCCTTTCTGTATACGTCTCAACTAGCCTGCGTGAAGCTCATTACCCGCTTCTGTATTTTGCTGATCACTACTCTCAGTCAGATCAATCAGTCCAGAAGCAAGCAACCCTTTTTTTCCACAGAGGTGTTGAGGCCAGAGAGAGAGAGAGAGAGAGAACGAGGTAGACAGGAATAATATCTCCAACCTCCACCCACCATGTGAGTTTCAGAAGGAAGGAATAAAACTGATGGACTAGACTTCAAGTTGGGTCAAAAGGGGGAGCCATCCTATTCCTTCCTACCGTCGTCAGTTCTTCACAGTAAGCCAGAGATTCCACCCCCAATACCCACCATCCCTTTTTCTAATCTCGATTCAAGGAACTCAAGAGCAGGAAACCCAAGATATTTAGGATTAAATTAGGTGCTTAATCACTGTGGGGGAAATATACATCTAATTAAGCAGGTAAAAGTGCCTGGTGGAAAGCGGGCAATTGGGCTGATCTCAAGGTAATGCGGTCCAGCCAGCCAGCCAGCCAGGCTCTGCCTACCAAGAATCAAGATTCTATTAATCCTTAATCGCAACCAAATCTGTGGAAACCAGCTTCGAGACACGTGGAAGGACTGGAACAACGCGTGGCAGCACTCTTGAGTCTTCTTGACTTTGGTCGGCTGGTTTGGATCAGGATGGAAGGAGGCGGCCCACCCACCTTGTCCCTTTTAGCACACAAGATGCACGACTCGCATGACCTCGAAAAAATGTTATGGGTTCGATTTTTGTTCTTGGCTTCAGACTTATTGACTTGGTAATACGAATGATCAAAAAGAAAAAAAACTACTTTTTACCTGCTTAGAATTAGGTGAAAAAAGTGTAACAGATTCAATCACTATTGGGAAGTCTTATGATAAAATCATTGCTCCAACATGGTTTGGCGGCCACTAAGGCCCGAAGGGATAAGGAAGAATCATGAACCTTGACCTCTAAAACACAGGGTTGGCCATCCCTTTTGCATTTGCCTGCAATTTCAAATCAACGTGAAAACAGAGTTCTGGTTAGGGGACTAAGGTTCCACACAAGTGTGAAGGTAACAGAAAACAAACCCAAGCCTGTTTCTTTACCTCATAGATCGAATCTCACGTTCCATCTCCCCTTTATGTCGGCGTTGAAGGTCCAGTTGTTCTCTCTAATTTGTAGATATGGCAGCTGTAACAAAGACCAAAAGATTGGGAGTTAACTAGCTGGACCAATGTAACAGTCACATTTGGAGGTTGGCACAGCATGGACTATTAACAGTCCACACAAGGGCGAATGGAAGCAGAAAGTAGGTCTAGTATGGGCAGAAAAAGAAGAAAGTAGGTCTAGCTGACTCAGGAAAATGGAAATGGTTCTTGGGATTGAAGGGCTATTACCCCTCACATCACTCGGAACATCAACAGTCCATACAAGAGCGAATGAAAATAAGAAAGTAGGTCTAGCTGAATAGAAAAAACAGCAAAATCCAAGATCAGCATTCACGTTCCTCGAGATATTAGATATTTATACCTTGTCGATGACCTCATATCCAACTTTGATCCTCACATCTTGGTCTTTCTGAAAATTGAATATGCTGCAGGAGAACTCGGTTGCTGCTGTTGGTTTGCTCTGTCATGTTATAATGAGAATAATAAGTTATTCACCAGCAAATTGCTATCTAACTTTCATGATGACCATTGTTGCAATAGACTAGACAACTACAAGGACTCTCAAAGTAAACCAGGCACAAAGACCACAATGTCCAATGGTGATGAAATGAACACGCCAATCCTAACCCAGATTACCAAGTTTAAAGAAGGGGAAATAAAGCAAGAAAGCAACCTCCTTGAAATCTTTGTCCAAGTGGTAGCGACCCTTGACATTGAAGCTGAACAAGCCGTCGCTGGTGATGGGGAAAGCCTTCTTCGCACGTAAGCTGTACCGAAGCTTTTCTTGTCTGTCATACTGCACTCCCGCACCCAAGCTAGCACCCAACTGATAGTCAACAATACCAAACAAGGTTATGTCAGCAGCAAGGGAAGTTGCTTAAAGTTTCAGTTGAGCAAATGCCAAATTAGCAGTGATTATAGAACGTACGTCTGGGAGGAAGTGTCTTAAAATTGCACTGACATGACTTGGCGCTCCAATCCTTGTATCTAGCTCTCCATGAAACTAGTAAAGAATCGAAATTATGACAGAAAAGATTTCAACATCCATACCCTAGAAAGCACAGGTCTTCCCTTATCCTGCATTCCCAATTGAATTCACATACTAGAGAAAGCACCCAGAACCATAAAGCATTCAACTTTATTACTTGCGGAGAAAACTATGACTGCCGCCAAATTAAGCAGATATGAAGGGGATACTTGGCTCAATTAAGAGAGAAGGTTCACCTGCAACTGGGTTTTAGGATCAAAGAGGAGCTTCTGCTTGGCATGAATCCTCAGGGATTCTTCTCTCAGGGTTCTTTTTGAGCCTCCGCTGTATCTCAGAGACGTCTCCATTCGACAAAAGGATATTCTTTCTTTCTCTTCCAACTGACAATTCAACCCAGTTCTCCGCAAACCCAAAACCCTGGCTGCTTTCAGTCTATCTGTTTGAGTCAACAGATACTCAAAATGAGAGAAGAAGAGAGATAGCTCGAGCTCCCGCAAAAATGGAGGAGATAATTTGCGGCCCAATATACAAAGGAATCAAGACGGGCTTTCCTTTTTGTTCGGCCCAATGTCATGGGAGTCTGGCCCGCTTGGAAACACAATTATGGAGTTCTGACTTCTGAGCTACGTGCTGAAAATGGGAGAACAAATCGGCACCAGTGGCATTGAGTAATAGCGAAGAAGGGAACGATCCACTCTCACTGTGTACGACGACGAGGGAGACCTGAGAAGAAGAAGAAGAACAAAGAACAGCCGATGGGGCTTGGGCTAGGTGTTATGCGTACGATTGAATTTCTACTCTTGATAATTGCGATTCTCTCGGCTCCTGTACTCTCCGATCTGATCCTCTCAAAAGTCGAGCGACGGGTAACCTCTCTCCCTCCACCCCTTTCATTTCTGCTTAGTCCTTCTGTAGATCCGGCGACGGGCTGAACTGGGTACATGAACAGAAATAGAGACGAGCCCTCATTGTAATTGGATTTTGATTTGTAAATTTGAGCTGTTTTGTTTAACTTGTCTATCAATGGACGTCTCTCTGTTCTGTTTTACAGATTGATTTGACCTCACAGATCGCACGCATCGCCTCTACAATCAAGGTGCTTCAACTATGCTTCTCTATTCGTTCTATACTTAAAAAGGTTGTGTCTTTGTCGTAATGGGCATCTTCTCATTTCTCATTCTTCATGTTCTGCCTTTACTCTGTGATATCAGGCGGAGAATGATGGTTCAAGTTCGGTTTCAGAGATTCTGCTGTCCATCCCTGAAGTTCAGGCAAAAAATCTGGCTTATTTGACTGCAAAACTTGTTGAAGGGAAAGGGAAAGCAAAAACATCTGGTGTTGCTCTCGCGGTTGAACCTGCCAATCCTAAAGGGATGCCACCGGCTTTGAGTTTCTACACAATGATATTACCCAAGCCTTTGGCTAATGGCGATAGCGTGACCTTAGATGTTTTGGCTGCATTTACCCATAGCTTGAGGCCATTCCCCGAGAAGATCACTCAGGCTGACATTCAGCTCGTGGTGTTCCAAGATACTGCACACTATCTCTCTCCTTATCCAGTCAAGGTTCAATCCCTCACTCTGAAGCTGCCCGACGCTAGGATCGAGTCATACACAAAGCTTGAGAACACAAAGGGTCTTGGTTCGGAGATCAAATATGGCCCATATGAGAACCTCCCTCCATTCTCATACTCTCCGGTTGCCATACATTTTGAAGCCAATCAGGCATTTGCTGTTGCTCGGGAGCTCGTGAGAGAGATCGAGATCTCCCACTGGGGGAATGTACAAGTCACTGAGCATTATGACATTGTCCATGGAGGTGCCATGAGTAAGGGTGAATTTTCCAGGTGAACTTTCACCGTTAACCCTTTTTTTGGTTCTTACCGTAGATCACATGCTAGAATTCCTATTGCATTATGGTCATGAGTGTGGTTGAAGTCTAATGTTTACTTCAGTACTTCCACCCTGCAGGCTTGACTACCAGTCCAAACCCCAAATCCGTGGTGCATCAGCCTTTAAACATCTTGTTGCTAAACTGCCTCCGAGGGCTCATTCTATTTATTACAGGGATGCGATTGGAAATATATCAACATCCCACGTCAGGGGGGACTCAAAGAAGGTTGATATCCCGATAGACGTGATGCAAGTTGTTCGAATTGATGGCTTTGATTTTAACCTCAAGATTTTCTTTGCTTGCAGACGGAAATTCTGATTGAGCCTAGATATCCACTATTTGGTGGTTGGAAGACTGCATTCACTATTGGATATGGTTTGCCGCTACAGGATTTTGTGTTCGAGTCAGAGGGGAAACGTTTCTTAAACTTCTCCTTTGGTTCTCCTATGCATGACTTAGTAACAGATAGCATCACTTTGAAGGTTTGGTTGATTGATGCATGAATTCTCCTTTCTCTGCTTGCTTACCTTGCCTTTCCACTGAGGGTGTGGTTGCTTATGTGATTAGATTTATATCTTGCCACATTTCTCATGCCTATACAAGGCTCTTAAGATGACCAGATTAGGCATGTATTTTTTTAATTTAAATTGGCCTAGTGACCTTTCTGATTTGTCTGCAAAACAAGGCTATTGGGAGCTGTGTTTGCAAGTTTGTTATACAGGTGCAACCTTAATTGTTGCTTAAACTTTTCAACAGAGCTATCTGATCTGCTGATGTTAAGACTTGAATTTCAGGTAGTATTGCCCGAAGGATCCAAATATCTCTCTGTTTCTACTCCATTTGTTGTGCAACAGGAAGAAGAGGTATTGGGAACTAAGAATTAGTTTTGACTCTCTTTTATGTTTTGCTCTTGATTCCATCAAAATTTTGCATTGGGCAGCTTCTTCTTTTGCTGAATGATGACTGCAATGACCTATGCAGATAAAAATGTCTCATCTAGACATATTTGGCCGACCTGTTGTTGTGCTGAAAAAGGCCAACGTTGTGCCAGAGCATAATCAATTTTTCCAAGTAAACGTTACTCTCCCTTTTCATTATGATAAAACTTTATTTGGGATACTGATAGATTCATGAGATATGAAGGCCTCCCTTACCATCCATATAGGAGAAAATTAGAATGCCAGACAGATTCAGGAGCGTTTTCTGTCATTTACATGATGGTGAGAGCTTTTTGCTTCGCTTAGCTTAAAATATTGACATTGTGGTCATTGTGCAGGTCTATTACCAGTTCAATGCACTTGCAATGCTGATGGAGCCATTCATGTTGATCACTGGAATCTTCTTCCTCTTTGTCACTTGCATAATTTATGTGCATGTTGACTTATCTATCTCCAAGTCTTCAGCTTCGTATCTAGCAAAACTGCAGTGGGATGATGTACGGAATCTCTTTATTTTCTTTCACCTTCATCTCAATTCGAAGATTGGAACTTATAGATAGGAAAAATTAACTTACATTTCTACAGGTGAGAGCAACAGTGCAGCAGATTCAAAATACCGTCAACCAGTGCCTATCCACACACGAAAAGCTAGAGGCATCACTACGTGATCTCTCCAGAACAGGAGATGTGCAAGCTTGTAAAGCCGCACGCAAGGCAACTGATGGCCTGTTGAAGGAGCTGTCGAAGGAACTGAAGCCCTTGATCTCATTCTTGCAATCTTCACCTCCTGCTGCTCATATTTTGCCCAAGGTTCATTCATGAACAATTTCGCTAATTATTCATCATAGAAAAGGCTTTATGTCTCGACTGATATCGGCTTTGCATAACAGGTAGAGGAACTGGTAGCAAAGGAGAGGGAATTGCAGGAGAGGCTGATGGCCAAGCACTCGACCATAGTTGATTCCTACGAGAAGAAACTTGGAGGTCGGGAAACCGAGAACCGGGTTGCTTCCGTGCAACAGAAGATTGTAGCTTTGAGACAGGACATTGAAGATCTAATGGAATACATTGACGAAATATAAAAAGGTTGGTTGCAGGATAGAATAGATTGCCCAAGTTTTGTTACATTGGGACTGCAGAATTATGCTAGTAATTTGTATTATAGACGTTTCCTCTACCGGCTGCGAAATTTTATAGCTATTAGAAGAAGAGAGCATTGAGGGTTGTTTTACTGAGAACAGTTTTCCAGAAGCCGAGTTAAAAACGGCAATGTTCATTTGCTCTTCAACAAAATCGGGCAGCAACATATAGTATGCACCACCACAAAAAATTACAGAATCGTCTCTATTTTCCACCTTCTGGCATTACTCTCAAGAGCTCAATGTTAAGCTCAAATGTGCCTCCTGGCTGCAATCAAAATATATAACAGAGTCAACAGAAAATACCACGGCCGGAAAAAAAGAGATGAAGGGAAGGAATGAGTTGAGTTATGTGCATACTGGAATCTCATACAATCCCCTGTTTCCATAGCCAGCCTCAGGAGGAACGATTACAGTCCTCTGCAATGTGGCAAATTTGAGGGTTTATATAAAGAGAACCAATCAAACAGGGAAGAAGAAGAAGAAGAAGAAGAAAGCCAAAAAATGGTAAAAGAAACATGAACTGACCTTGCCTCCGACTTTCATCCCCTGGGTGATTGTGTACATAGCCGGTGGAGGTTTAGGAGCAGCTTGTGCAGAGAAGAGACCATTTGGGTTGTCTACAAATTCTCTCTTCCTCTCTTTCCCAGGGATGGCTCCTACTTGAAACGCGTATGGCTATCATCAAAACAATCAGCCTTAACCCGAAAGTGGCTCGCCGCAGCATAGCAGAATTCAGGGGGTACGAATGCCGTACCTGAGAAATGATGCGATTTCCAGCTAGCAGCTTCGATTCTCGGCTCGACACTGCCGTCACTCCCCTGTATATGCAGTCGAAATGCACCTGCCCAGCAATCAACTTATAAGCTACTTCTCCAACTTGAAATTTACATCAGAAAAGTGGAAATGGTACCAACCAGAACGGTGGTTCCTTTCTCGGCGACGGGGCCATTCCCTTCCTCGATGTCGAAGTATTTCAATCCTTCAGCTGTAGCCAACATGGAAACAATGGCGTAAAATTGAAATGGGTTTCGGAATTTATCCATGGAACGGAAGAGTTCAGGGTAGAACGGAACTAACGGCTAGTGAGGTAATCTTCCATTGGGATCTTCTTCCGGTTGCGTCTTTCTCTGGCCTCCGACGGAAGAACCACCAGGCCCAGTAACGACGGCAATGTGGTGATGAGAATCGCGCCTCTTCTGGAAGTCGAATTGCAGGAAACCGTTGACAAATCCGCTTGCACTGCCGTCGGCAGAAGTTTACGGTGACCGTGATTGTTACTGCTGGTCCCGGCTAGGCTCCATCTCTCTAAGCTTCCCCCAATTGGAATGGAAGCCATGGCTGAAACAGAGGAATCCCAAGGAAGCAAAACAGGGGAGAAAGGAAAACCAACGAAAGAGACGGAATCAAAGCATCTATCCACTCTAAGCAAAATGACGGCCCTGTCCTTCCACGAACTCCTTTTGCTTTTAGCGGAAACAAAAGTGGTTAGCGGAAACAAAAGTTATCGGTTGTTTACTTGTCATTCCATTTCCGTTAGCTGTCATTAGCAGGGATTTTTCCAGAAATAATATCTATTAAATTTTTTTTACAAAAATAGTATCCAGCCCACAACATTTACAAAAATAACACTATTTTTATCAAACCGCACTTCCAAGGTGTGTTTTATAAATAATGCACACCCTCCAGGTGCGTTTTATTTATAAACCGCATCTTGTGGGTGCATTTTAGTCCACGTCAGACTGGAAACCGCACCTTGGAGGTGCGGTCTGTGTTTGGTGGGCAGCGGCCTTGGAGACCGTAGGATGAGGAAGCGATCCAGTGGCGGACCGCTTGCCACCTCAGCGATCCTTGCCACGGATTGAAGACCGCAGCGCCAGGGAGCGGTCAAGCCTGGGGAAATGTAAACCGCCTCGGTAGGGTGCGGTTTGACCTGGGGAGAAATTACCAGACTGCCCCTGGAGGGTGCGGTCTGATGGGTATAAATACCATGGACCAGGAAACCGGATCGTACCGGCAGGTTCAACCGGGAATTCGACCAATAGCGATACGGTATGCTGGTTGGTATCAGAATATCGGACCGGCCGGTTTTTCCGGCTTAACCGATACAAAAGGAAAAACCGGCCGGCTTTGGTCTGACCGGCGGTAGGTTTACACTAGGGAAAACGTCGCCGTTTTATACTAAAAAATAAAAGGCCAAAAACGCATAACCTAATTTGGGAGCCTTCCTCTCGTCGCATCTTCTTCCCCAGCGCAGCCCCGCCCGCCGCTTCTCCTCCTCTCCTCTGGCCGTCTGGCGATTGGCGACTGCAGTGGCGACGCACGACCGGTGGTGACACGCAACCCGCGACCACCTCTCCGGCTCTCCGTCGCTCGTCTTCTATTCTTCTCTGGCGACTGGCGCCGATCCCTGCGCTCCGCCGCTCCTCTTCTCTGATGTCCTTCCTCGTCTGAGGTCTGGGTTTGGTGGCAGGAAGGAGCTCGCCAAGTTCTCTCCTCCTCAGGGCTCAGGCGCGCCGCTGCTCGATCTGCTCAAGCCTCAAGAACGCCTATTAGTTTCCATTGGCAAAAGGGCAATTAATCCCACTCCACCATCAATCCCTTTCAACTTCTCTGTCCTTCTGTCACTCCCTCTCTCTCTACTTAGTCTCGAGCGGAAGCAGGGCAGTGTTGAAGAAAAGGTAAAGGTAAAGTGAGCAGACAGATTGTGATTTTTGACAATAATTACATATGCTTATTTAGTTTATTCATGTTTGTTATCCGGTATATTCCGGTTTTATTCCGAAACGGTATCACAAATCTGCCGGTACGGTTTTTTAACAAAAAAACATTATTTAATTACAAAAACGGTATTTTGCCGGTTCACAACGGTTGAACCACGGTAGTACCACAAAATACCCTACCACTGGCGGAGCCGGTATGACTTCCGGTATGGTTTCCTTTACCATGATAAATACCCCCTCCCCCCTCTCATTTTTTCACACCACAACCATTCTCCACTCTCTCTCTAGCATTATCTCTCTAACCCCTCCCCTCCCCTCCCCTCCTAAAAGCCTAGGAAATAGTGGTCTGTTGGTTGCGGCTAAGTCCGATCTGCCATCATAAAACATTTCTTTGGTTTTTCCCTCAAAACTCGCGCGCCGAATTTCTTTCCGACTTTCGAGGGAAAATGGACGAGTGGTTCCAAGGAGAGGGAGTTTATTATGATGAATTTCAAACGGTACATACTCATTATTTTGGTCAATTTTTGTTTTTGTTATAAGCTTTTTAATTAATCTATGTACTAACCTTGTTGTTATTCTCTCGTAGGTTGGGGACGACATGAATATATACAACCAACGGTACTATTTGGATCAAGGGCCTATTGATCCGACCGACTTGTATAACCAACCCAACCATCGTTCAAGGGATGTTTGGAACGATCACCCGGTACATACAATTCTTCATCATTTATATTTCTTTTATTTTGCTAATGTACTTAGTGGAATATAAAATAAATTTGAAATAATTTAATCGTATTGGTTGTTTTCAATAATTTAATCGAATACATAGCGCCACTTACTTCGACTCTTTATAAAGAGATGCACGTCTAAGGAAATGAGGTTTTAAGCGATTATCATGATCCTCCTATTTCCTGTGAAAATCGGGTATTAAGAGATCCTCGGATCCCCCCTTTTTCTGTCAAAAAGGCTGCGTTTCTAAGAAGATGTATACCTCTTCTAAGAGTCTAACAAGTGTTGCATTGTATTCGATTAAATTATTTAAAACAACCAATACGATTAAATTACTTACCAAACAACCAATACGATTTATGTTTATGTGTACTTAAATGAATTTATTAATTTTAAATGTTTGAATATGTATGTATCTCTTTAAATTATTATTCATTTAGAATGTTATTTATGTCAATTAATTTAGTATGTTTGTTTTATGATAATATGTATATATCTTGGAAAAAACCGCAAATTACTTAAATTTTGATTGTTAATAATATAATTATATTCGAAATTAAATTATTAATTTTAATTAATTTAGTTATAAGACTAAACTATTACTAATATATCATAAATAATTTTAATAATGGTTGAAATTAAATCATTAATTTTAATTTATTTAGTTATAAGACTAAACTGTTACTAATATATCATAAATAACGTTGAAATTTTTGCTAGGAGGCACAACAAATACTCCGCTACAGGGGTACGACCAATGTGCTCCCATGGAACCCAGTTATCTTGCCCTATCTCAAAAGGGCACGGTTGGAGTCGATTAGGCATTTTGTAGGCATAAAAGTCGATCGCCAACTCATTACCGCATTGGTGGAGAGATGGAGAAAGGAGACACATTGTTTCAACTTTCGCGAAGGAGAGTGCACCATCACAGTCAAGGACGTCGCCATCCTAACTCATCTGCCTATCGACGGCAAAGCGGTGTGTGAGAGTGATCTGCCCATCAAGATTTTAATAACACAATTTTCCTTAATTTTAGCTTATTTTAATTGAGTATATTTTTATTATCGTCTTATTAATAAGGTGGGTTGGAGCCTCAAGATGCGACAACCTTGCCCAACACAAGTTGGCAGAGTATCGGAGGAGGCTAGAGCGACTTTGGGAAGGAGAGGTAACTATAAAACTTCTAAGTGCTATAACTTTTTTTCATGGAGTACATGTATTTTTCCAATCAGATTTAACTTAAGTTACTAATATTTTTTTTGTAGATCAAATTCGATCCATACCCGGCGAACATCGTTCATTGGCATTTACAGCAATTCCCAGAGAATATCGGGCAATGGTGCACGAGGGTCCCTCTCATTTGTTTAGGGACCGTGGAGTGGCACCTGCCGGATTGATGCCTTCGTCAGTTTGGTCGGGAGCAGTGCATTCCGTTGGAAGTCCCCGAGAGTCAAAGGGCGTTTCACGGTCGAGATGGTCGGCAAGGTACTCACGATTGGCCCACGAAGTTGGCGGAACTGATCGCGGTATGGGTGAACCGAAAACTTCAGGATATTGTCACTCCAACAAGTGTGGGTCGAATGGGGTATCATGACCCATACATGGATAGATATCGGCAAACATCGGTTCGGTACGTGACTCTGGAGGGTGCGGCCGATGGTGCATTGGTAAGTATATTCCGTCTAATAAGATTAAATTTATTGCTTGTTTCATTCTGTCACATCATTAGTCTTATCTTGCTAACCTTTTTTTGTGATTTAGGCTGATGGGATCGAGCGGATCAAAGCGTTGACCCATGGGAAACATGAAATGGGACATGAAGATGTGAGCTTCATCAAGAGGATGACAAACAGTCTGCTTGGCTGTATCAGAGCACAAGGTTGTGATCATCATAGATACCCATCCATGCCCGCACCGGTGCCACCTCCGGTAAAAGTTGATGTCCCCCATCCCTCACCACCATACGAGAGAAAGAAAAGCAAGAAGGTTCGGGAAAGACCTCATGAGCCCGAGATAAAGTCGTTCGAGGTGTGGAGTGTGCCGACCCCCTTTGTTGTGGCACACGGTGGCGGTCCGAGCTCACATCAAGATCCCCGCCCGAACCACTATGATCCTCGCCCGAGCAATTCCCAAGCTCATACCATGATCCCCGCCCGAGCTACCATCAATCCCCTCCGAGCTACCATCAATCTCCATATGATCCCCAC